AGGCGCGGGCGGCGAGGGAGGCCGACGGGCCTCACGTCAAGGTGCGGGGCGACGTCACGGGAAGGGCAGCCAGTGGGGGTAGGGGGGCGGGGGCGGCAAGGGAAGGGTGTGCCAATGGGTGATTGAGGGCGGGGCAGCATGAGATAAAGGGACAGAGAACCAATGGGTTTAAGGGGGCGTGGCTTAGGGCAAGGGAGTGGAAAGCCGGTGGTGTAGGAGGAGGGCCTCAGGGCAGGGAAGGGGAGCCAATGGGTGATTGGGGGCGGGGCATGATGTCAAGGGAGAGGGAGCCAGTCGATGTGGAGGGTGGACTCAGGGCATGAGAGGGGAGCCAATGGGTGTATGGGGCAGGGCTGAGGCAGGGGCTTCATGTCAAGGGACAGGGAGCCAATGGGTGTAGGGCAGTGGTGGGCAAAATGCTGCCCACCAGGCCATTCTATCCCATGCAAAAAATTTAGAAAATTAATATTAATCTGCCCCTGGCTGCCTGCCATGCGGCCCTTGATGGCTTGCAGATACTCAGTAAGCGGCCCTCTGTGGGAAATCATTGCCTGCCCCTGGTGTAGGGGCAGGGCCTCAGGGCATGGGAAGGGGAGCCCATGGGTGATTGGCTGGGGCTGAGGGAGGGGCCTCATGTCAAGGGATAGGGAACCAGTGGGTGTAGGGGCAAGCCTCTGGGCAAAGGAAGGGGAGCCAATGGGTGACTGGGGTGGAGCTGAAGCTGGAGGACCAATAGGTGTAGGGGGCAGGGCTCTGAGGCATGGGCCTTAGGGCAAGGGAAGAGGGGCCAATGGGTGCATTGGGGAAGGGACCTCGTGGAGGGAAGGGAGCCAATGGGTGTTGTAGGGGCAGGGCTATGAGGGTGGAAGGGCCACAGGTCAAGTGGAGAAGCCACTTATGTTGGGGGTAGGGCTTGCCATAGGTAGGGTTGGGAAGGGCAGCACATGGAGAGAAGGAGGGGCTGTGGAGGGGAGGAGAGGGGCTGCACATCAAGATGAATGGGGGCCCTGGTCATGGGGATGGGGACTGACTGCACATCCAAGAAGGGGGGCTCAAAGGTGCTGGGTGGCCCTGGCCAGGGTGGTGGCAGGAGGGGCAACATCATGGTAAGGAGGGGTAATGGGTACTGGGGCATTTCAGGTCATGGGAAATAGGATCGGTTGCATGGGTAAGGGGGCCCAGGGGTGCTGTGTGGGGGGCAGGAAGGGAGGCTTCTGTGTCTCCTAGTGGGGTGCAGCGGTGCCCCCTCCCTTTTACCTTGCCATGTGCTGACTGTGGTAGATGGTGATTCCTGAAGTGGTGCTGCTGCTGATCCCAGTGGCCTGGTGCAGGGAAGGTGCTGTCATGGTGCCCACACACTTGGGTGGGGAAGGGAGAGGAGGCTGGCCCAGCTATGCCAGCAGTTGGGTGTGAGAGGTGCAGAGAAGCCAGTAGGACAAAGCAATGGGTTTATGACGAGCATAGCATTGGAAGGTGCCTCAGAGGTCACTTTTTGTGTTCGCGCACACATGCACACACGCACGCTTTTGCTCTTGCTCACTCAGATGCAGGATATGCTGTTGCTGAGCCACGTGATAATGCAGCATTTGGTGACATGGGAGGAACGCCATTAGTGTTGCCTTTGCTGTGACGTGCAATAAATTGTGTTATAAGAGTAGAAGAAGTTGGCTTGGCATGGCATAATGTAGTGTAACTGGGGAAGTGATTGTATCCAAGATTTCATTATCAGGAAGCACCCTCAGCAAGGGGAGATGATGCCGTGGTTCCAGAGCGTAGCGTAGCAGTGCGTAGCGTAGCGTAGCGTAGCGTAGCGTAGCGCTGCGTAGCGTAGCGGTATGCATGATGCCAGAACAAGAGGGAGCAGCGACATCAATGAAGCAGGATGTCTTTGGGGAAACAAAGCCCTTGTGATTTGCGATGGAGACAAATAATATAGATGCACCCATGTATCGGTCCATAGCCCATTGGCACCGATAAAAGGAAAATTGATGTTATCAGCAGTCCGCTTTTTTTGGCTGATGTGGCTGATAAATAATGTTGCTGTTAAATGCTACATGCACGCAGGGGTGGGGAGGAGGTTGATGCACGCAGGCATGCCAGGGGAGGCATGGGGAGCAAGTGGCCCCTCCCCTCCCTCCCCAAATTGTCTGGGGCAAGGGTGGGCTGCGCACTCAAGGCCAGAGGCAGCTCCGGGCTCTTCCCGGTGGGGGGCTGGGCTGGGGCTGTGCTCGGGGTGGGCTTTGGGGGCAATAACAAATTTTGGGGTGGCTGTAGCTCCACCCGCCCACCCCCTGATAACCTTCTTTCCAGCACAGCTGCCTGGCCTGGCCTGGGCCCAGCCGCCACCGGGAAGAGCCCAGCACAGCTCCTCGCCCTGAGTGCACAGCAGGCAGCCTGCCCTCGTCCCACACACAGATCTAGGGGGGCACATACATGCCTCCCCCAGGGTGCACACAGCAGTGGGAACCGCCTGCCCCTGGATGAGCCGCCGGTACTGTCTCTTGCTCCACCCTGGCTGTGTGGCACCTGCCCCTGCCTCAGCTCCAGCCCCACTCCCCCCTTCACTGTGGGGGGCTTGATCTGCCTGCCCACACTTACCAACTGGATGCTGCTCTCCATGCTGCCAGGCTACATATTGGCAATAACTGGCCATCAGTATTGGCCCAAAAAATCTTTATTGGTGCACCCCTAGACAATAAAGAGATTGTACTAACTCGGGAAGGGATGAGGTAGGGCAATGTAACGTGTTGATGTGGCCCTGGGATGTACAGGCATGTAGCAGAGTGAGGTGTGGCTACTCAAAGCATTAAGAAATTTTAGATAGTAGGATTGAAGGGACAGCAGTGAAGATGTTATCAGGACATTGCATATGTATAGGTGTATCTAGGTGTCATCAAAGGCTGAAATTTTTTGGCTGGGAAGGTGTTTCGAGTTTTCTTGTAAAGGATAAACATGATGAACCCTACTTGACTTATAAAACCATCACTGGAGGTAAAAGGTTGATATTAGAAAATTACGTTATTTGTAAACAGAACTAACTTGCCTTATTGAAGTAACAAAGAAACCAGTGAGATATCATAAGTAATGAACTCCACATGATTCACAGCACAAATGCACTTTGAGTTTCCACATTATCTTAAATAAAAGCAGCTTCTTTTCACAAATTATCAATCTAAAAAAAATCAAAATAAGAAATGACTAGAAAGTACCACATTGCTTATTATGAAAAATATAAGAGAAACCATCTACATCCATTTCAAAGCGGCACTTCGAAGTGGGGAAAATACTACCTTTAGAATAAAGTCTCATTGAAAAAGCCTGTCTGTGTGAAAGATTCTCTTTCAAGTCATTCAGATCTTGGATAATAACGGTTGTTAGAAAGGTGGCACACTCACATAGGTGTTCCATTACGTTATCTTCACAAAATCAGAGTGCTTTTACTTGCGAGTCTTGTCTTTCATTCCCTTTAACTTGTATGAATATTAGGCTTTTTTTTTTTTTTTTGGAAGTAGCTAGTTTCAACATTGTGCACATTATACTGTGGGTTTTGGTTCAGTTTAACTGCTTCTAAAGTTCTAGGCCAGTTGCAAATGTATAGGATGAAATAACATTGGGTTTTAAATATTGCAGTCATTAAATAGCATGCAAACCACCAGGGTTATGACCTTTCGGTAAGTTTGAGTCCATCTTTTGGACAGTTAGTTTTTTATAATCTAGAAACAAACGGAGGCATTACCTTTTTAACTATCTGGCATTTTAGTTTTGACTATGCTCGCTTGTTCATGACAGCAAACCAGTTCTGGAATTATGTATTTATTTACTCAGATAAAAGGTACAGGGAGAGCTAAAGACTATTTATTCCAAGTTATTCCTTTAATATACTTGCTAATCTTCCAGAGAAAAATAATAGTAAAGAGAGGAGTTTGATGGATGAGTAACTGGATGAGGAGGCTGATGCCTAGTGTGTGGTCTGTATGCGTTCTAAATGCGTCCCTAAGGATAACTCTGATTGTTCTTAGTGACTCTTTGCATGGGGCATGTCTCTGAGGTATTTGACATATCCTAAAACAAGTATAAATTCTAACATGGTTTTAACGTTTTATGAATGTCCCTGTATTTTCATTCTAGTATGTCATCATCAACAAAACACATGACTCCGGCAAGTTACTTAACTAATTTGTTTTAATGCTCCATAAATTAATTTAAAAGATGCCCTGATAACTGCCTATTAAAACTGGTGGTTTTATTGTACAGTTCTGGTAATCCTTTTTAGTATCAAAGTAAGAAACATGGGCTATTTAAACATGTATTTTGTTGACTTCTTTCAGACTGGCAAATGTCTTCCTTTTATGAATTTATTGTGGGTTCCCACTATGAGAACATCTGATTTTTCTACAATTGATGATGTGGCTGTTTTCAGTTGTGATCCTGAATTCATGTTTCTCAACAATTAATGGAATTTTTACTGCATCTTTTACATGCCAGCACTGTAATCCTTATTTTTACAATATTTATTTCCCAGCTAAGCTTCTCAGTTTAGTGATCTGGCATGACAAGGAGCTCATTAAAACTAGCAAGAGAGCAGAAGATGTTTATGAAGTCTCTTGATGTGATTTTATTTTTAATGGATGGAGTACATCTCTACTACTTCTAGGCTGTTGACATCCTTTCTTCAGGGGAATGATTTTGGCACCGTTGAACTGTGCATTGCTTCCTTCAATTCAGTAGAGCGAGTATCATTATAGGGTTTCCTAACTCAACTTGTGATATTATCACTGTTAAAGTGAAATTACCTTGACTTGACTTTGACTGTAAATCTTGTTGAGTTGGATATCTGCTAGTTCTCTTGAATATTTTTGTACAAGATGCATATGCATTCTTGCTTGTTTATAATCAGTTATGGAGCATGGCCACAGACCTGCAATCGGAGATAGACGAGACGCATTCTTGTTTGTAATCAGTTATGGAGTGCGGTCACACAACTCTGTTTTGTAATATGCAATCTGAATTGATCTCTTCTGCAGTAAAGGTAGGCAGAAAG